GGTGGTGGGTGGGGGCCCCCTCCAAAACCCCGTTAGCCAATTGGCGGCTGCCTGGCCACTGGCTCCAGGGCCGTGAAAAGTCCAGTTCTGGCTGACTGCTGCTACAAACTGGACTGGCTTCATTTTCCTTCGATCGTGGACAAAGAATATCAGCTTGAGGTAGACAAGCTGTGTAGCTAGGAGGATGAGAGCAAGGAGCAGCATAAATCCTAAGGAATCATTAGCCCTGAAGGAGCGGTGTTGGAAGGTACACTGATCTTCCTCTCTAATGAATGAATAAGTGCCCACGTCTAAAACTGGGGGGAACGCCATGGCCACAGACAGAGTCCACACCATACAGATCACAGCCAGACACGTCCAAAAGGTCAGCCTCTTTGTATAGAAGCGATGATGAGCGATTGCTAGGTATCTGGTGACACTGATGCAGAAGAGCATGAAAGCAGTGTGGAAACAGGACAAAACCCCCAGAAAGGCAATCACTTTGCAAGTCAGAGTCCCGTAAGTCCAGGTTGAGCCATTTTTGACAGAGTTGAATACAAATGGAAAACAAATTGCAGATCTGAGGATATCTGAACAGCAAAGATCCAGCAGGAAGTAGTATGGTGCTCTATGCAAGGTCTTATCTTTCACTAGCAAAATGGAGATCAGAAGGTTGCCCACCACGCTGACTCCTATTATGAAACCCAAGGAAGTCAGTTTCAGAAAGGCTGTTAGAGGCGAGAGATTTTGCAAAATGTTGTCAGCTGCATGGCTATAGTTCGCCATAGATGGATGGAGGATAATGATACAGCCTCAATCAAGTCTCATGATCTAGATATAAGAACAAGGAAAAGATCGATCCATACATTTTACTGAAAATGTAATCCACAAAGAGAACTGATCCGATCTGCAGTCATGCTTCCTCTCTTCTTCTATTTGATTTGCCATCAGAATATCTGGAAAAAAAAAATGAGCTATCAGTTCTTAAGTTAACAAGCAATGATGTCAGACAGTGCTAACATAAAGCTGTTCATTTACGGGGAAGCAAATAAAGTTTTAATTTTGAATACTATTTTTTGCCTCAGTAAGTAATTTTGCTTGAGATTTCAAAGAATTTAGTTTTCTAAGCTAGGTGAATTAAAAACTGTCCCGATTTTGGAGAACATACATTTGATTGGGTGCCTTCAGGACAGAAGGAATAAAATGTTCCACAGTCGTAAAATATGACAGTCCACAAATTAATCACTAATATTGCAATGGAATCTACAAGATTACTGACGGGAGAGAGGGGGGACTAACTACATTTATTTGAGGTCTGTTAATATCTGTCAGTGTTTTACAGGCAGCTTCCCTGCTGGTATGGATCCAAAATCCCCTGCAAAATACATGTCTTTTAACTCAAGTGCCACTATTCATGCTGCATGAGAGTATTTGTTGATTCATCTTAAAGCGTAATTTCAACATCAGACTTTGAAATTAATAGGAACTTGGACATAATTTAATCTTTTGTTTTTCTCTCCCACCCCCTCCCCCCATTTTTGGCAATTCTTTTCTCTTTTAAAACCCACATGATTATTAAAAACGGTTCATGTAAATATTGGCCAGGGAAACACACCCAGAGGAATAATGAACTTCCATTTGTAAACCTTGGCTGCCTGGATTCAGATGAATAGAATATGAACCTGTATTTCTTTGGCAAGTAGGGCTTTCCCATTTGCACTGGTAATCTTTGTTGAAAATCACAAGTGGCTTCATTTTAAAACAAAATGCACATTGTCTGCTAGGTGCTTGGGAGCCACACCAGGGAAATCAGCTTCCTCTGTTATTCCCACGAAGCAAAGTGTGTTTCCTTTGCCACTTCTCACTTGCCTGGAATATGCTGGTAGAAGCCCAGGCAAAACTGCGTTCGATGATTTTAATTTCCCCACCGGTCCATCTCCGGGTAAATACCGATCGCATCATGCAACATTACGAAACCTGAAATCCGCCACCCCTGGATTTATAATGGGGGGTGGGGGGTAGGAGAGGGGGAGGGGGAGAGAGACATGCATTACATACGCGAAGATAGGGAGAGAGATTGCTTCTGTGCTGCAAGGGAACCGTTCCCGGTGATTCGCAGTCTGATATTCTTCAGTGTTGCAACGCTTTCCAGAAATGGAGCTCTCAATAAGCCCTACTGAAGATGCATTGTCTGAATGTACTTCTATTATTCAGTTTAGCGAAGATAGGGAGAGAGATTGCTTCTGTGCTGCAAGGGAACCGTTCCCGGTGATTCGCAGTCTGATATTCTTCAGTGTTGCAACGCTTTCCAGAAATGGAGCTCTCAATAAGCCCTACTGAAGATGCATTGTCTGAATGTACTTCTATTATTCAGTTTATTGTCAAAATGCAGTTTTCATCAACACTGTACAACCCCCTCCCCCAAACTTAACCAAGAGTATATCCTCCTACCTGTTGGTGTTGGATATCCCGACAGACTATACCTTCTTCTTTCTATAAATTGCTGATTTTTTTTTTTGCCTTAGTGCCTTGACTGAGCATCCAGGCTGGGCTCGGCGGCGCCTGCGCGCTGGAGCCTCCTTGAGCTCCAGCCGCGGCCTCCCCTGTCGCCGCGGCACGGTCTCCCCCCGTAACGCCGGGGCCG